GTCACAGCGACCCTAGACAGTGACCTTACTGTAGTGTCAGAGTCTCCTCGATCTTGAATGACCCAATAATACTTTAATTACTGTATGATAATGATACATGTATGATAATGTATGTATTAATTACTGTATGATAATGATACTGTATGATGTTGGCGGTGATTGTTGTGAGTTGGTGGTGTTGGTGGTAGTGTTGGTTGTTGTGGTGGTTGTGGTGGTGATTGAGGTTGTTGTGGTGTTGGTGGTAATATTGGTTGTTGTTGAAATGGTGATAGTGTTGGTTGTAGTGGTGTTGGTGGTAGTGGTTGTTGTTGAGTTGGTAGTAGTGGTGGTTGTTTTGGGAAGTGGTGATTGTAGTGATGTTAGTGGTAGGGATTTTGGTTGTAGTGGTGGTTGTTATGGTGTTGTTGTTGTTGTAGTGTTGTTGGTGTTGGCGGTGTTGGTGGTGGTTGTTGTGATGTTGGTGGTAGTGGTGGTTGTTGTGGTGGTTTTTGTAGTGTTGGTGTAGTGTTGATGATGGTAGTTGTGGTTGTTGTGGTGTTGGTGGTAGTGGTGGTTGTTATGGTGTTGGTGGTAGCGGTGCTGGTTGTTGGAAATATCCTACATTTATCTCTCATTTAGCACTTTGATAAATCATCTTATGTCCAGAGTCTCGTTCATTTAATATCGTCTAAATTAATAGACTGCGTTACGAGAAAAAATATTACTGTATAACTCGTTTATTTATGACATAAATATTCGTCATAATCACTTTCTTCCCTAATTAGAATATAATGAATAAATATAATTTACGCTCGGGGCCCCTACTGGGAGCTATTGCGCATGCGCGTTCCCGAGAGGGACGGAGAGGACTCTCCCATTTTTGATCTACTGGCAGTAAGGTGTACGAAAGCGGCCCTACTAAATCTTCGAATTCTACAAGCATCCGTATTTCTCCGGCCTTCAGATTGAGGGGGCAGCTTACCGGATTCACGGACACCAGTTTCGGCAGGCATTTTACCGCTTAGTTTTTATTCTTGAGCTCTTGAACATCTTGCTAATGCAGGTACATTAGACGTGACGCTGTAGGCGAACCAATATACCATGTGAGTGCTGCTTCCACCCCTTCAATTATCTTAGACCTTGCATTTAAATGTGTGAATACTAGTTTGGAGTGGAATTTATGGAAGTTAATTATTTCAGCGTGGTGTAAGTCAACTGAGGAGGTGTGTGACTGTTCCCATGATCACGTGTCCCAAGGATTAATATCTCCGGACTGTCTCAACGTGTTATAGAGACTGGACACGTTCTACGGTCCTCTAAACCAGTTGAGAATGTTGCCAGTATCAGTTGTAGATAATACCTTTTAATTAGTGAGAACCTAAACATTCCTAATTATTTACATATTAATTATATATATGATTTGATCATTAATATGCAGTAGTATTTTTACATAGCATTTAACTAGGGGAGTCGGTCGGCCGAGCGGACAGCACGCTGGACTTGTGATCCTGTGGTCCTGGGTTCGATCCCAGACTCCGGCGAGAAACAATGGGTAGAGTTTCTTTCACCCTATGCCCCTGTGACCTAGCAGTAAAATAGGTACCTGGGTGTTAGTCAGCTGTCACGGGCTGCTTCCTGGGGGTAGAGGCCTGGTCGAGGACCGAGCCGCGGGAACACTAAAAATCCCCGAAATCATCTCAAGATAACCATTATACATGCATAACTCATAATCTATGTACATGCATTTATTATATTTATCACGTATGCAATTTATTATACATTATATGCATTACGTAGACAACCTCATAGAAGCCCCCCCCAAATGTGCTATGGGAAGCGGCTCAAGACTATATTGAATTTACAATTCATTATTGCATAAGAATAGAATCTTTAGAATTTAATTACATTTAATCATAGAGATCCATAAGCCACTGGTTCTCTCATTCATTATTTCATTCTGGTTCTTTGAGCATCTTATAATTACCTATCATTTTTTTTTCATATTTGTATTATACATTAATTATTAGCATATAAACTAGAGCCAGATTTACCCACATTGGTGGTTGTTATAGTGTTGGTGGTTGTTGTGGTTGTGGTGGTGGTTGTTGTGGTTGTGGTGGTTGTTGTGGTTGTGGTGGTAGTGGTGGTGGTTGTTGTGGTTGTGGTGGTTGTTCTGGTGTTGGTGGTAGTGGTGGTGGTTGTTGTGATGTTGGTGGTAGCGATTGTTGTTGTCATAGTGATGGTATTGGTGGTTGTTGTAGTGGTGGTTGTGCTGCTATTGCTGATAGTTGCTCGAAAATAATTAATATGCACGAAATGACATGCCTCATGCAAAATCATAATATGTAAATTAAGAGATTAGCAGTTTCTTAATGAACTCAAACATATGTAACTACATCATTTTCATTCAATATTGACTCGCATAATGCAACATGCAAATTATGTGAATATGTTTAGGAATAAATTCACCGATGTATTTAATACACTGAGCTAAATTATTAAATTTAAATAAGAAGAAAAATGAATTACGTCATGCCTACAGTTTTTCCACCACAGACAAAAACGTAAACATAGATGTAATATTTAATAAAAAAAATACTCGCTGGGTTTTTTCTTTTTTTTTTATACGAGCCGGATTTAGTGGACAAGATAATTATATCGAGGATTAGAAGAGGTATTTTTATCGTGTTAGGTTATTGTGTTTTGTTGAGTTGGTCTGCAGCTGTGTTGTGTTGAACAAGCTGTGTTGTGTTGAACAAGCTGTGTTGTGTTGAACATGCTGTGTTGTGTTGAACAAGCTGTGTTGTGTTGAACATGCTGTGTTGTGTTGAACATGCTGTGTTGTGTTGAACATGCTGTGTTGTGTTGAACAAGCTGTGTTGTGTTGAACATGCTGTGTTGTGTTGAACATGCTGTGTTGTGTTGAACATGCTGTGTTGTGTTGAACAAGCTGTGTTGTGTTGAACATGCTGTGTTGTGTTGAACATGCTGTGTTTTGTTGAACATGCTGTGTTGTGTTGAACAAGCTGTGTTGTGTTGAACATGCTGTGTTTTGTTGAACATGCTGTGTTGTGTTGAACAAGCTGTGTTGTGTTGAACAAGCTGTGTTGTGTTGAACATGCTGTGTTGTGTTGAACATGCTGTGTTGTGTTGAACATGCTGTGTTGTGTTGAACATGCTGTGTTTTGTTGAACATGCTGTGTTGTGTTGAACAAGCTGTGTTGTGTTGAACATGCTGTGTTGTGTTGAACATGCTGTGTTGTGTTGAACATGCTGTGTTGTGTTGAACAAGCTGTGTTGTGTTGAACAAGCTGTGTTGTGTTGAACATGCTGTGTTGTGTTGAACATGCTGTGTTGTGTTGAACATGCTGTGTTTTGTTGGACATGCTGTGTTGTGTTGAACATGCTGTGTTGTGTTGAACAAGCTGTGTTGTGTTGAACATGCTGTGTTGTGTTGAACATGCTGTGTTGTGTTGAACAAGCTGTGTTGTGTTGAACAAGCTGTGTTGTGTTGAACATGCTGTGTTGTGTTGAACATGCTGTGTTGTGTTGAACATGCTGTGTTGTGTTGCATTGAACATGCTGTGTTTTGTTGAACATGCTGTGTTGTGTTGAACATGCTGGGTTGCATTGAACATGCTGTGTTTTGTTGAACATGCTGTGTTGTGTTGAACATGCTGTGTTGTGTTGCATTGAACATGCTGTGTTTTGTGGAACATGCTGTGTTGTGTTGAACATGCTGGGTTTTGTTGAACATGCTATATTGTGTTGAACATGCTGTGTTGTATTGAACATGCTGTGTTTTGTGGAACATGCTGTGTTGTGTTGAACAAGCTGTGTTGTGTTGAACATGCTGTGTTGTGTTGAACATGCTGTGTTGTGTTGAACATGCTGTGTTTTGTTGGACATGCTGTGTTGTGTTGAACATGCTGTGTTGTGTTGAACATGCTGTGTTGTGTTGTATTGAACATGCTGTGTTTTGTTGAACATGCTGTGTTTTGTGGAACATGCTGTGTTGTGTTGAACATGCTGGGTTTTGTTGAACATGCTGTGTTGTGTTGAACATGCTGTGTTGTGTTGAACATGCTGTGTTGTGTTGAACATGCTGTGTTGTGTTGAACATGCTGTGTTGTATTGAACATGCTGTGTTGTGTTGAACATGCTGTGTTGTGTTGAACATGCTGTGTTGTGTTGAACATGCTGTGTTATATTGGACATTTTGTTTTGTTGAACTTGCTGTGTTTTATTGAACATGTTGTGTTGTGTTGAACATGCTATGTTTTGTTGAACATGCTGTGTTGTATTGAACATGCTGTGTTGTGTTGAACATGCTGTGTTGTGTTGAACATGCTGTGTTGTGTTGAACATGCTGTGTTGTGTTGAACATGCTGTGTTGTGTTGAACATGCTGTGTTGTGTTGAACATGCTGTGTTGTGTTGAACATGCTGTGTTATATTGGACATTTTGTTTTGTTGAACTTGCTGTGTTTTATTGAACATGTTGTGTTGTGTTGAACATGCTATGTTTTGTTGAACATGCTGTGTTGTGTTGAACATGCTGTGTTGTATTGAACATGCTGTGTTGTGTTGAACATGCTGTGTTGTGTTGAACATGCTGTGTTGTGTTGAACATGCTGTGTTGTGTTGAACATGCTGTGTTGTGTTGAACATGCTGTGTTGTGTTGAACATGCTGTGTTGTGTTGAACATGCTGTGTTGTGTTGAACATGCTGTGTTGTGTTGAACATGCTGTGTTGTGTTGAACATATTGTGTTGTGTTGAACATGCTGTGTTGTGTTGAACATATTGTGTTGTGTTGAACATGCTGTGTTGTGTTGAACATATTGTGTTGTGTTGAACATGCTGTGTTGTGTTGAACATATTGTGTTGTGTTGAACATGCTGTGTTGTGTTGAACATATTGTGTTGTGTTGAACATGCTGTGTTTGGCGGAGTTACGGCTTAGCTGTAAACTACTTGTAATATTCTTCGTTAAGATTTATTGTGTTATAAATATGTAACGTTCAGCTGTTGAGTGTTACATTACGTAAAGATAAACTGGTGCTATTGAACATAGCCTCCACTTCGGATAGCCTTAGGACGGGATCATCCGTCTTAACAAAGACGTAGTCGATAGCCGCAGCCAGGACACTGTAGCCCCGGTCTGACATGAACTTCAGAAATGTCTCATCGAAGTTGTTATACTCGTTCTCCGCCACGATCACCCTGATGGAGATGTTGCTGTGCGTCAAGAAGTTTCTTAGGACAGGCACTTCGGTGCCCTGTATGTCCAGTACCAGGAGGTCAACGGTTGTCACGTTTAAGGCTGCTAGGTAGGAGACGAGAGGAAAGCAATTCAAGATGGAAAACGACTTTTCGTCCAAATAGTCGTGGTGGGTATGGTCGATGTCCTCCCGCAGCTCATGACTGTGAGCTCGGAACGAAAAAGGCGAGATCGGTTGCTTCAGTTTGGCAAAGTGAGACACGAATACTGTTTCCTTGGGGTAATACTCCGACGAGAGGCAGGTGTTTGAAGACCAAGCTTTCCGATGTTTGCTCCTCAGGGCTCTATAGCTGACTGTATCTGCTTCGATCAACAATCCCGTCCAGCCCATCTTCTCTTCCAACCACAGGGTGTTGGAAATGTATTCGCCGTCCAGCGCTCCGGCTTCGACGAAGTATCCACCCCGCTGACCCGAGAAGAGCTTGCGGAGACGCCTGTGTATCCACGGCCAGGTGAACAGGCGGTTGCCGTTGGAGAGCCAGACGTGATAGGTGAGGTTGTAGGGTAGGGCGGAGGGAGGGTCGAGGAACTGGTCCCTCAGCACCTGCAACACTCGAGGGTCGTCGCCTGCCAGAGGACCGATCATCCGCGCCAACACCTCCGTCGACGACGACGAACTTTCTGAGGGAACCTGAAAATAAGCAGAGTTAATGTAAGAATATTAGAATACATGAAACTGCACAAGGTATGTTGGCCCATACGAGGAAGCACCTCTTGGCCCATACGAGGAAGCTCCTCTTGGCCCATACGAGGAAGCACCTCTTGGCCCATACGAGGAAGCACCTCTTGGCCCATACGTGGAAGCACCTCTTGGCCCATACGAGGAAGCACCTCTTGGCCCATACGAGGAAGCTCCTCTTGGCCCATACGAGGAAGCACCTCTTGGCCCATACGAGGAAGCACCTCTTGGCCCATACGTGGAAGCACCTCTTGGCCCATACGTGGAAGCTCCTCTTGGCCCATACGAGGAAGCTCCTCTTGGCCCATACGAGGAAGCTCCTCTTGGCCCATACGAGGAAGCACCTCTTGGCCCATACGAGGTAGCAGCTCTTGGCCCATACGAGGAAGCACCTCTTAGCCCATACGTGGAAGCTCCAATTTACAGCCCAATCAATAAATATTATATAATATATATTTTTAATATAATGTTTTATTGAATATGACTCCGTGTTGATTATTTTTTTGTTTTTAGGGCTTCTATTCCTCTGACTAGTGCTCTTGTTTAAGGCTTCTATCCCTCTGACTAGTACTCTTCTTTAGGGCTTCTATCCCTCTTGTATCTTGGTTGAATTGAAAAAATATTTCTCCAAATGTCACATTTGTTCAAGGTTGACGAAACTAATGAAAGCTAACTGTACAATGTATTATACTTATTATAATTTACACAATGTTTCGAACCTACAAGGTTCATTCTCAAGTGAGGAAATGATAAGACACAAGGAAACATCCGATGTATAGAATTGTGAAGTCAGTTGTATACAGAATTATGTCAGGTGAATGGGAAAATAAATGAGAATTGAAGGGAAAGTGAGGTAATGAACTAAGCGGACAAGGTAAAGTCAGGTAACAGTTCCCTTCCTCTACCCTCTCATAGTGGGGAGAGGCAAGGAATTATCAGTGGAAAGCGCCAAGCCATTACGACTATATAGCACTGGGAAGGGGTCAGGATAAGGATTTAGGATGGGACGGGGGAAAGGAATGGTGCTCAACCATTTGTGGACGGTCGGGAATTGAACAAGGACCCGCATGAAGCGAGACTGTCGCTCTACCGTCCAGCCCAAGTGGTTGGGCATTATCTCAGTAATAGTATTTCTTGGGTCATGAGAATAATCTTGGGATTATTCTCATGGCTTCATTTTGTATCTTGTAATTGTGTGCTGTATGGGTTGGTGAGCCCCCTTAAAGGACCTTATATACACGAGGGCAGACATAGCCTAAGCTACTCTATCTTGAGGTTATCTTGAGATGATTTCGGGGCTTTAGTGTCCCCGCGGCCCGGTCCTCGACCAGGCCTCCACCCCCAGGAAGCAGCCCGTGACAGCTGTTGGAAATTTCCAACACTAACAAACTACCATTGTATTATAATACATCATTACTATATACTAACTACAGTAGTTATTAATTTCACTAACGGTAGTGTCCACATAAATTACCATTTTTTATCTGCGCATTAGTGCTAGAATTCTCACGACATCGAGTAACAAAATTGCGTCAGATAATGTCTATCTAGAGACGTTTATTACCAATATGTTAGAGAATTGAATGTGGTTCTCTAAAATTATCAATATTCCGTGTAATAATTAACTACGGATAATATAACTACCAATAATCCAAAACCGAGAGTTATTAACTGAAATTATTATCTAGTAGCAGTTTTATCTGTTACGTACGAATGCTATGGAGAGAATAAACATCCTCTTCATTTCTCGTTTAGCACCATTTAACGAGAATATGATATTATATAATTCCCTATAATTGCAACCCAGTTCTCATTAACGTATTACAACAGTAATTACGCGGAAAAGAATTATCCGTGATTAGTAATTTCTGTTGTGAATGCGGGAGACGGGTTGAGGGAGGGTGGAGAGGCCATTGCGCACGAGGCATTCCTGGCGATCAGAGAGGCGAGACGCGTGGTAGTGACTGAAGAGATTTCCAACAATAATTACGTTGCAACTCCACCAATAGTCAACAATTACCTCCCCACGTGTTCTACAGTGCCCTGCCAGTTAATAACGCGTCAACAATTGAAGCCACGGCCCGTAATTACGCGTACACAGCAGTGGACGCCTGGGACTGGCTGACGCGGTTTCGGCAGACCTTAGTATTTGATACGCTCATGTTAAGTATACCTTTCTCGTTTGATGCATCATCCTAGATTGTATATTTGTGGGTAGTCTGTCGTGATGTAGAATGAACAACAAATACACAACGTTAGTTGATATTCTTCATTTATTTCCATTTTAATGAATACTTGAAATAATTCGTAGCCTAATAAAATGCAACTTAAATTTCCCTGATTGCAGCGTGTATACGAGGAGTCGACAAGTTCTTTCTCTTCATTCGTGATATTCACTTCGGGTTCTTTCTTTATTGGGATCCTGTGACCACGAGGACGAATGACGAAATGGAGTTACAGAAGTCGTCTTACTGCTAAGACACCTATTTCGTATAAATTTAGCTAAGATTATTACTGATTTCAATATAATTCATATAGGATCTTTGCAGTAAATAATTTATTGCCAGAATTTATGACTTGGTAATTAAGGTGTTTGCTCTTACTGTTCCTCAATAATTCATAATCTTTAATATTCATAATTTGAGTTATCATATCTTTGAATCTGTTTTAGTTTAGATTTACTATGTTATTAAATCAACAATGAACTAGTGACGAACCACACTGGTTCCTAGATATATATGAACTTCTAGAAATACCCCTCCAATGTTGGTATTTAAGGCTTTGACTTTAATTAATTAATAATGCAGTCTATTCATTATTTTCAAGTGATTGTTAAGTTAATTATTATACATAGGCACTGGTTCTATAGTGTCAATCTAATAATCACCTTTGTTTGTTTTCCCTATTTTCTCAAAAGTGGGTGGTCCTTCGATTTATTTAAACATAATAATCAAATAATTTAATATATGAGTTCAAGCCCCAGATAAACCAACAACAGCTGACTAACACCCAGGTACCTATTTTACTGCTAGGTAACAGGGGCATAGGGTGAAAGAAACTCTGCCCATTGTTTCTCGCCGGCGCCTGGGATCGAACCCGGGACCACAGGATCAGAAGTCCAGTGTGCTGTCCGCTCGGCCGACCGGCTTCCTGAACAAGGACCCGCTATATTATACTATTAAGATGTACTTCATTGTCACAACAAACTTACTTGAAGTGGATAGTGTCATGGTGAGGGAGAGTGAATAGTTCATTTATTTGAGTGTTTATGGTTGGTTGTTCTGATATCATGTGCAGAGGCCAGATTCACGAAAGCACTTACGAACGTGCAAGTGCTTCCTCAATCTTTGACGCCTTTGGTTACATTTTTTAAACAGTTTACAAGCAGGAAAACTTGCCAATCAACTGTTGTTATTGTTATAAACAGCCTCCTGGTGCTTCGGAGCTCATTAACTGTTTAATAATTGGAAACAAAACACCTAAGATTGAGAAAAGATGTACAGGTTCGAAAGTGTTTGCGTAACTGCTTTCGTGAATCTGGCCCTGGCTTCAAGAATTTATAATCTAACATCTTGGGTTTATCTCATATACAGCGGTTTTATTCAGCATTTCTCCCGGAAGGGAAGTATGACATGGGCTTCTCTCATGTGGTTCTAAAGATTTTAAAGATCAATCATGTGCTCCTAAAGCACCTGATTGATGGTGACAGGTTAAACGCCTCGTCAATTTCCCCGACGTCATACCTATGTACTTGGATTGTAGGATACACACTTCATGGTAGGGAGGAGGGGGCAGGTATACGTGTATACCAAGTTCGACTGCTGTAATGGGTTCTCAGTTGGCGTCTGTCTGTTGTTAATGAGGGAGTCCGTTGTTTTCTTTTGTTTTATAGTATACTAAAAGGGGTACCCGGCCGTTCTCGGGTCTCTTTCTCTCTCTTCCTCAACAGCCTGCATGGGGTAAACTTCAGATGCATTATGAATATATCCTCCAGTGTGGGTAATGAACTTGCAGAGCTCCAAGTACCTAATACCAACATTTCATGAAACCTTTATCATTAGTTACGGAACTGTACATCAATTTTTAAGTGGAATTCGGATGTAATAATTCAGCTGATTCCATCTATCGGTAGAAGAACACACTAACAACAAGCCAAGCCAACAGCAGCCATATGATACAGCATATGCCATCTATCAGCATAAAATTACTCTATCAACAACAGGCCAACCTGCAAGATACAGCTTATGCCATCTATTGGCATGACTTTGAACAATCAACAGGTCACCAGCATTCCGTGAGGCGGGTGTTGGGCTACTCTTACCCTCTCCACCCTAACCCCCTCTTCTCCTCCTTACTCCCCTTGACCCCCTCTTTTCCATTCTATTTGGCCCCCCTCTTTCATCCTTTCCCTTTTTCTCCCTTCCCCCCCTCCCCCCAATCCCCTCCTTCTTTAACCTCCCCCTCCTCTCCGTTTCTCCCCCTTCTATCAGACAATGTATGGGGCCGACCCACGCCCCCTTTTCCCCACCACCCACCCCCACTCCCCCACCACCCTCCTCCTCCTCCGCTGCTTCTCTCCCTCTTCACTATTACTAATCAAATCCCACAATATAATAGTGACCCGTTCGAATTTGTGAGTTGATGTTCAGTTTTGAGTGTGTGGGGAGGATTGATTAAGTCACCCAGGAGGTGGCACGGGCATGAATAGCCCGTAATGTGGGACGAGTGGTGGCTTGCTGTGTTTAATCGATGTGTTATATCGAGCTACGGCCGAAGTATGATTATCAGAAATATTCTACTAATTTTCCAGGAATCAGTAAATAATGTTGGATATTGTTATAAGAACAAAATAATTGATTTGGACTTTTTTTTGTTTTTCAAAATATTTAGAGAGTTAGGCGGCGGTCAGTGCCAAAACACCGCTGTGGAGGTGTGAATGTGACCCTGGCTTGCTGGTTCCTTTTGAATTCTGGCAACCTCAGATTAGAGAAGCCGTTGTTGACTAGGACCTGCCTTACCCTACAGAGTTCTTCGTCGACTTGCTTCCATTCTGAGCTGTGGCTGAGAGCACGGTCGACGTAAGCGTTAACAACACTCCTCTTGTACCTGTCTGGGCAGTCGCTTTTGGCATTTACGCACATTCCTATGTTCGTTTCCTTAGTGTAGACTGCGGTGTGGAACTTTTTCCACTTTTCATGGAAAAGAGCGGAGGTTTCCACACTGCAGTCTACACTAAGGAAACGAACATAGGAATGTGCCTAAATGCCAACAGCGACTGCCCAGATAGGTACAAGAGGAGTGTTGTTAACGCATATGTCGACCGTGCTCTCAGCCACAGCTCAGAATGGAAGCAAGTCGACGAAGAACTCTGTAGGGTAAGGCAGGTCCTAGTCAACAACGGCTTCTCCAATGGTTTCGTCGAAGACATCATAAGAAGGAAAGTGAAACGCCATGCAACCTCCGAAGAGACAACTAACACAACACCTATACCCCCTATTAGACTATTTTACAGAAACTTCTTTTCCACAGCTCATAAAACGGAGGAAAGGGTCCTGAAAGATATTGTTAATAGAAACGTTATCCCTACAGACAAAAATCAGAGGATACAACTGACGATTTACTATAAAACCAGAAAAACGGCCAGCCTACTCATGAGAAACTCTCCAGACACAAAACAGAACGCTTTAAAAGAGACTAACGTCGTCTATGCCTTCAAATGCCCTCTTGGAGACTGTAAGCTCCAAAAAACCCAGTATATAGGCAAGACAACAACATCTCTTTCTAGGCGTTTAACGATGCATAAGCAACAGGGCTCCATTAAGGAACATATAATCTCTTCCCATAACCAAATCATCGCCAGAGAAATCCTAGTAAACAACACAGAAATCATCGATAGATACAGCGATAGCAGGCGGCTTGACGTTTGCGAGGCATTACACATCAAGAAGTCAACACCAGCAATCAACAGCCAATTAATGCACAACTATATTCTACCCACCTCAAGACTCCGCTCCAATATAGAAGCATCAAGAAATATGGACCAATAGGCTTTCTACAATCACTTTTTCTCCCTTTCCCCCCAATCCCCTCCTTGTTTAACATCCCCCTCCTCTCCGCTTGTCCCCTTCTATCAGACAATGTATGGGGCCGACCCACGCCCCCTTTTCCCCATTACCCAACTCCCCCACCACCCTCCACCCCCTCCACTGCTTCACTCCCAAATCACTATTACTAATCAAATCCCACAATATAATCGTGACCCGTTCGAATTTGTAAGTTGATATTCAGTTTTGAGTGTGTGGGGAGGATTGATTAAGTCACCCAGGAGGTGGCACGGGCTGAATAGCCCCGTAATGTGAGACGAGTGGTGGCTTGCTGTGTTTAATCGATGTGTTATATGGAACTACGGCCGAAGTATGATTATCAGAAATATTCTACTAATTTTCCAGAATCAGTAAATAATGTTGGATATTTTTGAAGAAAAGATTGATTTGGACTTTTTTTTTTGGTTTTCAAAATATTTAGAGAGTTAGGCTGCGGTCAGTGCCAAAAGACCGCTGTGGACGAAAGAATGTGACCCTGGCTTGCTGGTTCCGTTAGAATTCTGGTGACCTTAGATCTTACTATTTCATCCCGCACCCCAGACCATTCCCTCTCATAATATATGTCTGAGGCTAGCCTCAGGCGACTGGCCTAGCTTCAGACATATACAGACACTTTCATTTACTGGTATAATATGATAGAGAATATTAGGTTGGGACTTAGTACAGTAGACAACCGACGGTAAGGCGGGTCCAAGAGCTTGCAGCTCCATCCTGCAGGGACAAATATATATATATATATATATATATATATATATATATATATATATATCTATATATATATATATATATATATATATACACATACATACATAGGGCCTGTGGCTGAGTAGACAGCGCTTTGGGACTCGTAATCCTAAGGTCCGGGCTCGATCACCGGCGATGGCGGAAAACAAATGGGCAGAGTTTCTTTCACCCTGATGCCCCCTGTTCACCTAGCAGTAAATAGGTACCTGGGAGTTAGACAGCTGCTACGGGCTGCTTCCTGGAGATTGTGTGTGTGTGCGTTGACTGTTAAAGAGAAATATATGTAGTAGACATAATAGAGGAAAAATAGATTGGTTAGAAAGGTGGGGTCCAAGAGCTAATAGCTCGATTCTGCAGATATAAATGGTTTATTCACTCACACACACACACACTCTCTCTTCCTCTTCTTTCTCTTTTCACACTCTCAATTCTTCTTCTTCTTCTCTCTCTCTTCTCCCTCTCTCTTCTTCTTCTTCTCTCTCTCTCTCTCTTCTCCCTCTCTCTTCTTCTTCTTCTCTCTCTCTCTTGTTTTTTTCTGCCTCTTCTCTATCTTCGTCTCTCTCTCTTCTCTCACTTCACTCTCTCTCTCTCTTCTCTATCTTCGTCTCTCTCTTCTCTCTCTATTCTTCTTTCTCCCTCTCTCTCTACTCTCTCTCTCCTCTATCTCTCTCTCCTCTCTCTCTCTTCTCTATCTCTCTCTCTCTCTCTTTCTCTCTCTCTCCTCTCTCTCTCTCTCTCTCTCCTCTCTCTCTCTCTCCTCTCTCTCTCTCTCTTCTCTCTCTTCTCCCTCTCTCTCTCTCTCTCTCTCTCTCTCTCTCTCTCTCTCTCTCTCTCTCTCTCTCTCTCTCTCTCTCTCTCTCTCTCTCTCTCTCTCTCTCTCTCTCTCTCTCTCTCTCTCTCTCTCTTCTCTGTGTGTATACATATACACACACATTTCACTAACAGAAACGGATCCAGACTACTAATCATGAGAGACTTCAACCACGGGAAGATAGATTGGAAAAACAGAGACTCCACATGGAGGACCTGACACATGGAGAGATAAGCTGCTGGACGTAGCAACAAGAAACTTTCTAAGCCAACACATCAAGAGACCGACAAGAATGAGAGGAGAGAATGAACCAGCTATTCTTATTTTTACTCTAAATGAATCGGATATAAGGTAAGTTAAGTTGGAAGCCCCCTTGGGAATGAGTGATCACAGTGTATTGATCTTTGAGTACATGTTAGAGCTAGGATTTATCTCCCCCCAAAAAAGAACCAGGAAACAAATGGCTGGCGTACCGAAAGGGAAATTTTGAGGAGATGAGACAATTTCTAAGGGATATACCATGGGACACAGAACTCAGAAATAAGTCCGTACAAGACATGATGGACTATGTCATCAAAAAGTGTTAGGAGGAAGTAAACAGTTTTATCCCGGCCCAAAAGGAAAAAACCGAGAAGCAAAAGAAGAATCCGTGGTTTAATAGGACATGTATGGAAGCAAAGGTACTGAACAAAAGGGCGTGGAGGAACTTCCGAGATAACAGAACTCCAGAAAGCAGAGAGAGATACCAGAGAACCAGGAATGAGTATGTTAGTGTGAGAAGAGAAGCAGAGAAAAAGTATTAAAATGATATAGCTAATAAAGCCAAGACCGAACCAAAGCTACTCCTCCATCAGGAGGAAAACAACAGTGAAGGAACAGGTGAAGAAACTTAGAATGGGTGAGAACAGGTACACAGAGAATGACAAAGAGGTGTGTGAAGAACTCATTAAGAGATTCCAGAAGGTGTTCACAGCAGAACGAGGTGAGGTCACTGCGCTAGGAGAGGTGGCAGTAAACCAGGCGGCCTTGGAAGAGTTCAAAATTACAAGAGTTGAGGTCAAGAGCCACCTGTTGGATCTGGATGTGAGAAAGGCTGTGGTCCAGACGGAATCTCACCATGGGTACTGAAAGAGTGTGCAGAAGTACTTTGCTTGCCACTCTCCATAGTGTATAGTAGGTCACTGGAGATGGGAGACCTACCAGAAATATGGAAGATTACTAATGTAGTCCCAATATACAAAAAGGGTGACAGACAAGAGACACTGAACTACAGGCCAGTGTCCTTACTTGTATACCATGCAAGGTGATGGAGAAGATCGTGAGAAAAACGTAGTAACACATCTGGAGAGAAGGAAATTTGTGACAATCCATCAACATAGGTTCAGGGAGGTTAAATTTTGCCTTACAAGCTTTATAGAATTCTACAATCAGGTGATGTTACGGTATCGCCACCTTCAATGGAATATGTAGTGACGATTTTAGCGCCATATGCGGATCGACACTTCAGTTCTCCGGATATTGGACGCTATGTGGACAGTGGCGGCTATTGGTGGCGGCGTGGCATCGATGAATGGCTCCAGTTTCCTGCCTTGATCAGACAGAGAGGTCAACGTGGATGATCTCTGGTGGATGGTGTATCACGATCAGCGCCATGTACACAGTGCACAGTTACAAACCCATTAAGATTTCAACTTAGATTCAACAGAACAGAAGAAATTGTTAAACACATATGGCAAAATCTTACTGAAGCGACCATACGAGTCATAAATACTCATACTCCGCCCAAGTAAAACAGAAACAAGCAACGCTTAGTGGGCCAGCCAAAGGCTTAGGGCCCGCGCAGGAATATCCCTGCCCCCCCCCCAAAAAAGCGCCATCTGTTGCGCTACAGAGCATAATGTCAACTCCCCGATGAGTGAGTGTTACCTCATGGTTTGCCCCAGTGTACCGTCCCTCTAATTGATGATGTTTTTGTCCACAGAAGTGACGTGTGGAGGTGATTGTACTGAGGAAAGCAGTTTTAGCTTGGGCAGTCCACGTACTTTCAGCTTAATCCTGGAAGACGACCAAGTAAGCCGCCGCCGATCTGAAGAGTGTGTATCTGCTGATTTATGCAGTGTTGGTAGAGATCGGCGTACCCCGGGATTGGCTTGGGAGAGGAACGGACGACAGTGAGGTGCCTGTAGTGAAGTGCTGCTAGCCGGTTGCTAGAGGCTTCTGCCAGGGGTTAGTTACCCCTGTATATGGTTGTTTGTGACCCCGATCAGCGTGTCTGAAGTCCTTTGCCAGTGAGTGGCTGGAGATCGATAGTGGGGTGTAGGCACCTTGTGATACTGTGTCGGTGGCCTGGCTCACGTAAAAGGTGAACTCGCCAGTGTTTATCAGTACACATGTACAAGGTAGAAACACTGGAGTTGATGAACACTGCCAAGTGAAAAGTGTTTTGCGTGAAAGTGACACGATTGTATATAAACGGTGAAGGTATAAATATATTGGTGAATATACTCTTAAAGGGAACTGTGTATTGTTCATCCTCCTTTATTCTTTATAGCACTATATAGCCAATTCTTGAAAATGTACTACCGACTTGCGGTCAGATACACTAAACGAGGTTAATCCATCAAGAACCTGATTACTGGCACTAAGTGGCCGTAACAGGTGACAAAGATTTAGCAAGAAAGAGAGGGCTGGGCGGACTGCATTTTCTTGAACTGTCGGAAAGCCTTTGACCCAGTAACCCATAAGAGGCTGGTACATAAGCTGGAGAAACAGGCAGGTGTAGCTGGCAAGGTGCTCCAGTGGATAAGGGAGTACCTAATCAATAGGAAGCAGAGAGTTACAGTGAGGGGCGAGACCTTAGTTTGGCGTGAAGTCACCAATGGAGTCCCACAGGGCTCTGTACTCGGACCTATCCTGTTTCTGATATATGTAAATGATCTCCCAGAGGGTATAGACTCATTCCTCTCAATGTTTGCTGAAGACGCCAAAACAAGGAGGAGTAGTAAGACAGAGGAGGACAGCTTGAGGCTTCAAGAAGACCTAGACAAACTGAAGAAATAGTCCAATAAATGGTTCTTAGAGTTTAACTGAAGCAAATGTAATGTAATAAAGATAGGTATAGGGAGCAGGAGACCAGATATAAGGTATCATTTGGGAGATGAAATACTTCAAGAGTCCGAGAGAGTGAAAGACCTGGGGGTTGATATCACACCGGACCTTTCCCCCTGAAACCCATATCAAGAGGATAACATCAGCAGCATATGCTAGGTTGGCCAACATAAGAACGGCCTTTCGAAACTTTTCTAAGGAATCATTCAGAACTTTGTAAACCACATATGTCAGACCAATCCTGGAGTATGCGGCTCCAGCATGGAGTCCATATTTAGTCAAGCATAAGACTATACTGGAAAAAGGTTCAAAGGTTTGCCATCAGACTAGTACCCGAACTGAGAGGTATGAGCTACGAGGAGAGACTACGGGAATTAAACCTCACGTCACTGGGAGACAGAAGAGTTACGGGGGACATTATCACCATATACAAGATTCTCAGGGAATTGATAGGGTGTATAAAGACAGGCTATTTAACACAAGGGGCACACGCACTATGGGACACAGGTGGAAACTGAGTGCTCAAATGAGCCACAGAGATATTAGAAAGAACTTTTTCAGTGTCAGAGTAGTAGACAAATGTAATGCATGAGGAAGTGATGTGGTGGAGGCTGACTCCATTCACAGTTTCAAGTGTAGATATGATAGAGCCCAGTAGGCTCAGGAACCTGTACACCAGTTGATTGACAGTTGAGAGGCGGGACCAAAGAGCCAGAGCTCAGCCCTCGCAAGCACAACTAGGTAAGTATATACAATCAGATACACACTCACATACATATACACACTCACATGCA